ACATTAGTTTAGCTGTAAAAGTCTTTTTAAAAGTGCCTTGTCATGCTGACCCCTCTGCTGCCTCTCAGCTCAAATCACCAAGAGCAGCCATAACACAGCATCTCTAATGCTTCTTCCTGCTCCCTCCCTGTCTGCTGCAGTACATGCCACATCACTCTGACCACCAGTTCTGGGACCCTCCCTGACCTCTGTCCAGATATGAAAAAGAGCTTTGTCAGTCAAGACAGTTTGGATTTCCAATGCCTTTGCTCAATAAATGCATTGTTTTGGACCATGTCTTAACTTCTCTGCATTTTGGTTAAATATTTGGAAAGCCTTATGTGAGATTTTACAAACACTTAATGAGACGACCCCATTACTAGAGAACAGACACACATGTATACCAAGCACTCCCATACTTCAGCCCAGACCTCTTAGCTGATTTCACTCTTGAAATTACACCAGTCTTCATAAGAACTCTGCTTCCATGATAGATGCCATCTCCCAATGACTCAATGTGTTCTACAAAACTCTTCATTTTTCCTCCCAAACAGATTTCCTGCTGTCACTCAAGGGTTCTCTAACCAGTTTCTTTTCTTTTTTTTTTTTTTTTTTTTTTTTAATTTTTAACAGGCAGAGTGGACAGTGAGAGAGAGAGAGACAGAGAGAAAGGTCTTCCTTTACCGTTGGTTCACCCTCCAATGACCGCTGCTGCCGGTGCGCCGCGCTGATCCGAAGCCAGGAGCCAGGTGCTTCTCCTGGACTCCCATGCGGGTGCAGGGCCCAAGCACTTGGGCCATCCTCCACTGCACTCCCGGGCCACAGCAGAGAGCTGGCCTGGAAGAGGGGCAACCGGGACAGAATTCGACACCCCGACTGGGACTAGAACCCGGGGTGCCGGTGCCGCAAGGCAGAGGATTAGCCTATTGAGCCACGGCGCAGGCCTAACCACAGTTTCTAAAACCCCAGGCCCCAGCAGTCACCTTTGACATTTCCATTTCCCCCTACCCACCCTCATTTCATCACTTGATACCACCTGCAATTTCTACTTTCTAAGCATTAGCTTTTATCCATCTCCACTGTGCCTCTTCTAGGTTCTAAGTCTCCTTTTTGGCCATCGAGCAGATTTCGAAACAGCTTTCTACTCCACCCCTATTCCTTTGTAATCCAATTCATTCATTATCCAGCTGGGATGAACTATTAAAGCAAACTTGAGATCAGGCTACTGCCCTGGGCAAAAGTCTTCATGGGTTCACAATGCATTGACAATGAAATAAAGATGCTCCAACATGGCTGACCAGGACCTCTAACACCTGAACTCTGCCAACCTCTCCCCTTTGGTTCCTTTACCGCAGACTCATGAAGGCTTATTTCAGGGGTCTCAAGGCATCAAATTCTTACCTCCACAGGGAGCACCCCTCAAGATCTTTACAAAAGATATTCTACCTGAAATCTTCCCCACACTGCTTTGAACTCTCATTCATGGCATTTAATATAACCTGTAACTGTACACTCTTGAGCATTTCTTTTTCTACTGTCAGACTCCTTATCTCAGATCCTAAGCTCTATGAGATCACAGAACACAACCATCCTCTCTTCTGTTTTTTTTTATTTGTACAGGCAGAGTGGATAGTGAGAGAGAGAGAGACAGAGAGAAAGGTCTTCCTTTACCGTTGGTTCACCCTCCAATGACTGCTGCGGCCGGCGCACCGCGCTGATCTGAAGCCAGGAGCCAGGTGCTTCTCCTGGTCTCCCATGCCGGTGCAGGGCCCAAGCACTTGGGCCATCCTCCACTGCCTTCCTGGGCCACAGCAGAGAGCTGGCCTGGAAGAGGGGCAACCAGGACAGAATCCGGTGCCCCGACCAGGACTAGAACCCTGTGTGCCGGCGCCGCTAGGTGGAGGATTAGCCTATTGAGCCACGGCACCAGCCCAACACATCCATTCTTATCACCTCTGTACACATAGAATCAATCATACAACAGGTTACCAGTATGATTTTTGACTGAATATCAATTTAATTCTGTAGCTCATTCCTTAGGTTTACTCAAAAGCACTCCTGGGTATTCTCCTTTATTATCACACGTGCATTATTGAAATTTTTCCTCTTATTCTTACGAAAGGTGAGTTTGCCTGACCCTTATTGCCTCAAAAATTAGGAAAAGGAGATGAACTGCACTGGCTAACTCACCCACTGAGACTGAATGGGTACCAGGAGTGAGGCTGGCTGATATATTACATGTCTCATTCTGAGGAAGACATTCAAGGCACAAGGTGAAGGATCTCTGTGAATGAGACCCCATTGGAAAGAAGGGGCCATCAAAGGAGGATATACTTTTCTCTGAAGGGAGGAGAGAACTTCCACTTTGTCTATGGCCTTGTCTAAATACTGACAGAGTTTGTGGTCACAAAAAGCTTCCACAGCCTTGGCAGCGCATGTCAAGAGTCTCGGGTGATCACTGAGGTCATAAAAAAGAGTGTTAATTGTTAACAACAGAAGTCACTGTGCACTTACTCCCCATGTGCCACCTCACCCCTTAATGAGTTGTACTATGAGAATTAACTACAAAACTTGTTCTCAAACAGTACTTTTTACCTTGTGTGTGTGTATGTGAGTGAACTGTTGAAATCTTTACTTGATATAGAGTTGGTCTTCTGTATATAAAGTTAACTAAAAATGAATCTTAGAGAAGAATGGGTTGGGAGAGGGAGTAGGAGGTGGGATGTGAGTAGGGGAGGAAGGATGGGTATGGGGAATAAAACCACTATATTCCTAAAGTACCTATGAAAATTATATTCATTAAATAAAAGCTTTAAAAAAGAGTGAAGAAGGTGAAAGAGGAGTGGTTAAAGAATAGCAGAAGGAAAGTGAGAGGATGAGAAATAAAAAGATGATATAATAATGAAAAAAACATAAAATAAACATGACAACTATTAAGAAGCTTGGAATATGATAGCAAAAAGTAAAAAGCAGTTAGGTGAAATAAAGAAAGTGTAATGAAAGGTACAGTTTAAGGGAGAAGCAGAGACCCATGGAGCGAGCTATATTTGAGCTATATTATAGCTAGGATTTCAACAGCCAAAGGAAGGCCAAGAAGTACTGAGAAAGGAGAGAAGATAAAATTCACAGAAGATGAAAGGGAGTTTGGCTGGAGTACAGGGTCCCTATAAGGATGCTTTAAAATAGTTCATGGAAAATAGAATTAAAAGGTAAATTTATCTTGGTGCAAAAAATTTTTCAAATCCATGCACAATTTTTTCATAAAACACATTTCTTATGAAAATTTTGAAGAGCCTTCATATAACATGGTAACACACCATGTGAGTGGCACTGTGGACACAGAAGTCACAGAGAAACTGACATCTCTACCTAGGCAAGAAAAAGGATTAGGAAACACATTGGGAAAATGACCAATTGTAATTGTATTTTTTTTTTGACAGAGTTAGACAGTGAGAGAGAGAGACAGAGAGAAAGGTCTTCCTTCCATTGGTTCTCTCCCCAAATGGCCACTACAGCCGGAGCTACATCTATCTGAAGCCAGGAGCCAGGTGCCTCCTCCTGGTCTCCCATGCAGATGCAGGGACCCAAGCACTTGGGCCATCCTCCACTACCCTCCCAGACCACAGCAGAGAGCAGGACTGGAAGAGGAGCAACAGGGACTAGAACCTGGCACCCCTATGGGATTCTGGCACCGCAGGCAGAGGATTAACCAAGTGAGCCAAAGTGCCGGCCTCTGTAATCATATATTTTTGAGTGTATATTTTAAAAATTCCTATATCAGGACAGGTGTTGTGGCACAGCAGGTTAAGCATCTATTTGGGGTACCCACATACCTTATCAAAATGCCAGTTTGAATCCCAGGTGCTCCACTTCCAATCCAGCTGCCTGCCAATACACCTGAGAGGCAGCAGATGATGGTCTAAATACCTGTGTTTCTGCCACCCACACCAGAGACCAGGATGAAGTTCCTGGCTCCTGGCTCCTGGCTTCAGTCTGGCCAATCCTGGCTGTTGTGGGAATTAATCAGTAGACAAAAGATTTATCTTTTCAGTCTCTTCCTCTCTGTCACTCTTTCAAATAACAAATAAAATTGTGTTTTAAAAAAATCCTATGTGACTCATCTAGTTCATCAGATGGTGAGCCCCTTGATGCTAGAGATTTTTATATCTCTAAGACTCCCTAGTCCACAGTGGCACTCACATTACTCCCAGTAGTGCAATAAACAGCCACAGCTCTTTTCTGTTCCCTTAGAAAATCATCCATCATGTTCTTTCCCCTTATGGGAAGCAAAGGTTGGCTCTCAATGTGTTCTCAGAGTCCTTTGCACTATTAGACAATTTACAAAGTAAAGAAATAATTTAATATGTAGTCATTTTATACATTTCATCTTTCCCATGTTTGTGATGTTTTATTTTGTTGGCTCTTTAAGGGTAGCAATATATACATTGAATTCAATACATTAAAATATAGCTTATGTTTCTATCAATAAGAATATCATATTCAGATAGCTAATATGTACTTCTTTATCTAGCAAATAAAAATATTTTTATAGGTCAAGGATTTCGATTTATGCCAGCATCTTCTCTCATCTACCCCAATAAACAAGATAATCAAATCCATGTATGACAAGAGATTCAACAGGCCCCTTCTTCACATGTGCTCCTGGCTGGTGGGAACTGACAGTTGTAGCCTTAACAAGGCAACGGCATAAATTACCAGAGACTCTGACCTAGCACCATTTCTCTGTCTCAGAAAGTCTTTCTTTATGAAAGCAAATATTAAAGGAAAACTTGGACTTAAAGGCTGCTCTGGTGGGAAAACAGTAGAATACTAGATTATTTTAACACTACAGGAAATTAAAATAATCATCTGACTTACACTCAGTGAGGCTTTGTAATGTCTTATCAAAATGAAGTGTAATTGTTGCATTGGTAAGTTAGCAAGGTGACCACAAGAGTGACTCCCGCATGCTAAGTGTGGCAAACTGTGTGCCATGTTTTCTTTACTTGGCCTGTACATACCCTGATGAAGATGGACTTTTTCCTCTTCTCTCTGGCTACTGAAATGCAGCTCTAATGACTCTGTCGCTAAGTGGCTGAGTGGGTCGAAAATTGTCTCCCAAAATCCCATCACAGCCTTCCACAAGTTCTGCACCTTTAACATGAGTCCGCAGCCTTCGAAATTCTTCTATCTGAAAATGAGAACAAAACAAAATAGATTACCTACATACCAGACATTAACAAGACTTATGGTTTCATATGTGGCTTCACCTGCAAGGCCAGCATCCCACATGGGTGCCAGTGGTGTCCCAGATGCTCCACTTCTAATCCAGCTCCCTGTTAATAGCCTGGGAAAAGCAGAGGAAGAGGGCCAAGTCTTGGAGCCCTTGTTACCCATGTGGGAGACCTGCAAAAAGCTCCTGGCTCCTGGCTTGCAGCCATCTGGAGAGTGAATCAGGGGATGGAATATCTCTCTCTCTCTCTCTCTCTCCCTCCCTCCCTCCCTCCCTTTCTATAGCTCTTTCAAATAAATAAATAAATCTTTAAAATAAATAAATGCCTAAAATCCAACTAGAAAAAGAGAAATGCAAATTGAAATTCAAAGAAAGAAAACCAGACTTAGTTTTTATAGACCTAAGACATTAGACAAGACCCTTTGAAGAGAAGTCAGCAGAGAGGAGATATCAAGTTCTCCAGACTACTCAAACAGTCACAAAAACATGCTGTATTTGTTAATGTGAAAATGATACACAACTCTTTCAAAATACTTTTGTGCCTGTGTACAGCACAATGAGAAAGAGTAAATAAGTGAATAAATATTCTTAAATGCTTCCCATTTCTATGTTAAATTTGCAGATTCTGATGGTACTGGATGTTAACTTTGATTAGATGTGAGACTTATTAGGTGAATGTATTAGCTTTTCGTTATTATTACAATGAGATACATGAGAACATCTACTAGTGAAGAAAAGAAAAGCTACTTAGCTCATAGTCTGGCAGATCTAAGACTGAGACAAGATGGCCTCACTGATGTGGCCTCTGAAGAAGACAGCAGATGGCGATGACAGAGCACATGTGAAGGAGCACACAGTGAGCCAGGAAGCAGAGGAAAAGACTGAGCCCTTCTCAGGCTTTATAACCACTCCTTTCTCCAGAATGACCAATCCAGGGCAAGCCCCAGCAAACTAAAGACCCTTTGGGCCGGCGCCGCAGCTCACTAGGCTAATCCTCCGCCTTGCGGCGCCGGCACACCGGGTTCTAGTCCCGGTCGGGGCGCCGGATTCTGTCCCGGTTGCCCCTCTTCCAGGCCAGCTCTCTGCTGTGGCCCAGGAAGGCAGTGGAGGATGGCCCAAGTGCTTGGGCCCTGCACCCCATGGGAGACCAGGAGAAGTACCTGGCTCCTGGCTTTGGATCAGTGCGGTGCGCCGGCCGCGGCGGCCATTGGAGGGTGAACCAACGACTAAGGAAGACCTTTCTCTCTGTCTCTCTTTCTCTCTCACTGTCCACTCTGCCTGTCAATAACATTATAATAAGAAAAAAAAAAAAAACAAACCTTTGGCAGGCCCCCACATCCTAAACACCATAACCAGACAAATATCCACCCTCTTAGTACCACTATCTTACAACTTTGGGGGTTGAACACCTTCAGGAGTTCTGAAACCAAATCATATTCAAACTATACCAATGAATTAGCAGATTCCTTCATCAACAGATTGTCTTTGCTGTTCATCTAACTCTTTGGAGAACACTGGTTCAAATACCTTTGATTTTCCAAAAATTTAAGCCAGTTTCATCTCTTAGCAATAGCAATGTTCATCTCCCTTTCTCAAGTTGTTTCTCCAGGTCTCACAGCTTCACCATTTCATGTGACAAAGTTCCCAGAGTCCCAAGTGACCTGCCTCATCAAGAGCTCCTGCCAGAGTTACTCTGAGAGGTTTTTAAACACCAAGAAAACATGATGAACATTACCCAGGCACATTCTCATCTATTAGCTGATTTACCTTCAGGGCTGATTGTTACTTCATTAAAATACCACATAGTAACAGGACACGGCCATTCCTTACACAGAAGCGGAAACTGAGGCTAGAAAGGTTAAGAAAGTTGCCATGTTAGTCAGTGGCAGAAGCCTACAGTTACAAATCCACCTGCTGTTTTCCCAGCTCTACAGTCACCACTTTAGAAATTTCCACTCAAAACACTGTAACCTATATTCTGCAATTATCCTAGTGCATTGAGCCAATGTGATCTGGATAGCATCAATCCTCCAAATTTCATCATCTCTGTATCAAAGGACTGTATCTACAAAGGTTCTTAAGACAACACGGCCATAAGAGTCTGCTGTTCATAAAAAGAAATGAAATGCAACAGATTAACTAATGCAAGGATTCTGATAAAAGTCTAGAAACAACAAGAGACTTTAAGAGGCCCATGAAACCCCTGAATGATAGGCAAATTTTACATATGTATTTTTCCCGAGGAGAGACTCCAGATTGCAAAAATTGAATCTCACAAGTTTCTAACTCAATCCGCTCCATTCATCTTGGGACAGAGCTGGGAAAAAACTAAATGGCTTGTTAGATTCAAACTCAAGTTAGAAAACAGACTTCTAATGTTTTACTTTCCATGTCCCCAAATATTGTTTAATGTCCTTAAATGACTTAAGTGTGACCCAAGTGATATTGCCTTATTTTTTCAAATAATACATACATGGTGTATTTATATAGCAGTGTCACTCCAATAAGTAATTAGGTGTTTAATATTCATGAGGGTCTTTCACTAGACCTCCTTAGGGTCTTAGAGTACAAAAATGAAAAGCATCTACTGCTTGCTGCATCGGGAAAATTCCCAGAGCTGAGGATGCATGAAAATTCCCTATAAATCATTTGCTTTCACCTTAAAGACTTCCCTAAATGTTAAGTGAAAGGAAGAATATGATGGTGAATGCAGTCAGTGAATCCTAAACCCAAATGACAAAGGAAAGTCATCTATATAAGTCTTGGTTCCTACTTGTGTACAACAGAGATGATAAAAACAAATTCACAAGAATGATACAAGAAGTAAATAAGAAAACTCAGAAAAATCACTCAGCATTGTCCCAAGCACATAGGAAGGAAATGTTTGACAAATGCTAGTCCTTTATTGCAAACTTCATTTGAAGCCAAACTTTTAGCTACACTTTTATGTGCAGAAAGTAGATAATAAACCAATATTCTGAGAAAATGTAAAGTCATCCCTCCAGCACACACTCTACTCAGAACCACATGCCATATCTGCAGCCAGAATCTGTGAGCCAGGGTGGGTTAAGAAACCACTTCAGATGCTCACAGTCCACAATGGAATTTCTGGGATTAAGTCCCAGCTTCGATCCCAATTCCAGTTTCCTACTAATGGTCCCCCTGCGGAGCATCAGGTGATGCTCAGGTACTTAAGTCCCAGTCCCCCACATGGCAGACCTGGGTTGGATTCCAGGCTGTTGATTTCAGCCTGGTCCAGCTCCCGCTGTTACTGGCCTTTGGGGAAAGAACTGGTGAATAGAAGATCTCTCTCTCCCTTTTTCTCACTCTCCCTTTCTCCGTATCTCTGATGACCAATGTGGACTAGAAACTCAACTGTATAAACATATTTTTGGAATACTCTGTTTTTATTGACTGTGAGGCTTCTTTTATAGGTAGGTTAATTTTTACATTTATGTATTCTGAACTGAACATAAATCTTTCAAGCCCCAGGCACCGGCCTGAAGCACATCCTGTGAAAACAACTCCTTCTAGGAAAGATGATGTGATCAACAGCCAGCCAGTCTCACATCACTGTATTCTCAGAGAAAACTATTTCACAAGAAATGTTTTTCTCTGATCACAGCAACACTTTGAAGACTTCAAACATCAGCAGAGATGGAGGGAAAAGCGCATCTTTCTGAAATGCCAGTTTTTCTGAAGTGTCCGACCACTTCTCAACCCCTTTAGTCACATCAAATGATTTCAAGCGCATACTGATTCAGCCCACACTGAAATGAGCGACTGTGGTAAATTAACAGAGTAATATATCAGGATAAAAGTCTTCCACAAAATTCAAATGTCAGGGCATTTGAGAAGCCGTCATTATCACATATTTCTGAACTATGATAGCATCGATTTTTAATGCCACTCTATTTAAATATAGTACTTATGTTTAACCAATTCAAAAGAGAACAAGAGAGAGAAAATGAGAAAGAAAAGACAGAGAGACAGAGATCTGATACATCAGGGAGAAGTCCTTGTCTGCTGCAGATACTAGATACAGCATTCACTCCAGCTCATTTACCCCAACTTTCACTGACTCATGAACCACACTAATTCACTAAAAGTTCAGCTTTGAAACTGCTTTCTTTCTTTATGAATGCTTTCCAAGGACTAATTTCCAGGGTATGTACCTTATTGCTAATTAACTTTTAGTCGTCCCAAGTTCCTAGACTTATTTTTGATTTCTATTTCATGTGCCATCAGGTAACAGGAGAAATATATCCAAAGTTGCTGTTCTCTATCCATTCACCCATGTGCTCTGAAGTTGTTCCCATGTCTTAGCTGCAGTGAACACAAAAGTGCAGGTATCTGCAGGAAAGTGACTTTCACTTCTTCATATCCCTGCCCAGCAGTAGAAATAAGCCAGACACAGAAAGACAAATCCTTCAAGACCTCAATTAGATGGAGAATTTTCTATTGTCCACTTTATAGAAGCAGAGAGTAGAAGAGTGGTTTCAGCAGCAGGGGGAAGGTGAAAAATGGGGAGGTGATAGTTAACAGCTACAACGTTTCCACTATGCAAGATAACTAAGTCCTGAAGATCTACTATGTAGCACAGTGCCTTCAGCTGACAACACTGTGTTCTGTAATTGAGAAGAGAGTAGATTTTAAGTGTTCTTACCAGACATAGTAACAGCACTACTAAAGTGTGGAACAGAGTACTGGATGTCTATTTGGCCTTGGTGATGATGATGGTTTCATGGGTATATAGTTATCCTCAAACTCATCAACATATACACAGTAAATATGTACAGCTTTTTATGTCAATCATCAATAACACAGCATTTTAAAAGTCAAGTGTTTTTATTTTCTTTTATTATCAATGAGAATGAATTTGGAAGAGTAATATAGTTTCCTATACATACTATGATTTGAATGTTTCCCCCAACGTTCATGTGTTTTGAAAATTAATC